GCTCCAAAATCTTACAACTACAGACTATCTACTGTTAAAAGAACATATGGGATGTGAACAGTTCCCAGGAATGGGTTGTTTTAATTTGTCTGACTTCTCTCAGACTGTTCAAGTACAGTTGGACAATATCCATTATATCATAGACAAATTTTCACAAATGCCTAGGGTGCCTATCTGGTTTTCTTGGCTTCACTGGAGATGGCTGGTAATTATAGATCTGCTTTGGTTATGTAACTTTATTCCTATTATGTTAATGTGTGTGCACAATTTAAATAGTAGTTTAAAACCTCTACATGCTTAAGTTACTCTACAAGAAGATATGTCAAAGAACTAATCAATCTTCCCATGTTTTCTTCCATCTGCTACCTCTATAGCTTTTCTTCTTCCTTCCTAATTACAACCCTTAAATAGAATTCGTGCCTCATATAGAATCTGGGAAAACTTTATCTGCATTCCAGGGTCATCCACTGTAAACACCATAATAAACTCTATCATTCTTGTTTTATCTGAACTATATGAAAACAAATTATTTCCCTGTCTTCCTAACCCTAAAACTTGGAAATACAAAGTTCATGACTTATCTGGGAAGGTAAGGGGTTTAGAAAGAGAAAAATAGATTCACAGGTTTCTAAAATCACATGGTACCTCATTATTATCCCAGGACTCTCTACATAGTAATATAATTTCCATACAACTTTAAATTGAAAAGTGTTCTCCTGGGTTCAATTTCTACATACTTGAACACAGTAGAATACTGAACTTCAGTTGTTCTGGGTAGACAAAATGAAAATCATTTTTAATTTATTGAACTGATAAAGCAGGTATAGTATCCCCAAAACCAGTGGACTTTCTCATCCAGGCTGTTTTCCTTCCTCATTAGATAGTATCATCTACAGTGAGGTGCATAGATTCACAGGCATGGAAATAATTCTGAATTTCTGGTAGAAGGGACAATGACCCTTAATTTATGGAAGAACATTCAGTTTGGAAATGCTGTATGTGAGGGTAACTTAAACGAGAGACACCTGAACTAAAAATTTCTAAGATGCTGCTCCAATATGGCTTGGAGTGTTCTCATGTTTATTCATCAGTATACATCAGTAACTTTGGATTGAGAATTTATGATGGTAAATCAAATGACACCTCCTCCTCCTCCCCTTCTTTTTCTTATCATTCTTCTATTCCCCCCTTCCCCCTTTCTCTTCCTCCTCTTCCTATTGTTATTTTTATTCCTATTCTTATTCTTTAGTTCTCCCTACTGTTTAGGATGAGATAGTTTGAGCCTGAATTTATAGGACTGCTCTGATCATGATATTTGATGATACTAGGTAGGACACATAAGGATCTAAGCAGCGTCCTTAACGCCAAGCTATCAGGAGTGCTGGAAGCCCTCTGAGATCTTTGCAGTGCAATTCGATGCTTTTTATGGCATGTGAGTTGTGCTGATAAGAGCATGTGTGTGGCTGCTGATTTGGGAGGAAATTATGAAAGCTGTTAAATGACAGGAGGTTTAGCCAAAAAGAAACTTCATAAAAGCACATCTTTGTGCTTTAGCCAAAAAGAAACTTCATAAAAGCACATCTTTGGGCTTAAGATACCACTTTCCTTATTCCCATGATGTTAATGTGCACCATAAGCCACTAAAATTTCCCAAGATCATGCAAGACAGACCAATTGATGTTTGCTTTATTATCCCCAAGGCTACAGAGAGGCCAGAGCTACTAGGAAGAGTCACTTAACACTTTAGAAATAAGAAGTTCTGCAAAATCAAAAGCCCTGCTAACAATAAAATAAATTTCAACTGCTGATCACACATGCCTATCAACTAATGTCAACTAATGTTATTACAGAATAATTCAGAAATAACTTTTCTCTTAGTCTTTTTCTCATTCAGAGTTTTCAGTTCAATTGTTTACAACTTTATCCTTCCTGGAAAAGAACTCTACATTGTATAACGGAATTTAATGGGAAAGTTGGCTTCGCTAAGATGTACTTCTCCTTAGCAAGGACAGAGGGACCATGACTTCACAACAGGTACCATTTCTGCTATGGGGAATAAAACAAAACCAAGACACCCTAAATGTCTGCATATACTGATGTTTAGCCCAAAACTGTTCTGCTAATCAAATTGTGCTCATCAAATAGGTTAGTTGACCGGGAACTTTTCAATTCTTTAGGTTGGTGCGTTCTGATTGAGAAAGTAATACCAGTATTTTCCCATCCTTTCTCCAGACTGAGAGAACTAATCAACTAGGCTGAGAGGTTACTAAATAACATTCTTTAGGTTTGAAGAATCATGTCACAGTATAGCCCATTGATTTATTATTTGTGTGTTTTTGATAATTTTCTTTATTGAAACTATAGAGCTCAACTGAAAATTACAATGAGAGCACTCATGTTTATTTAAGAGTGCCAATTATGTCATCAAAAATTATCCCGATGAAGGAAAAGAACACTGAGCTATATGATTTGAACAAATGTATGTTAAAATAAATATACAATGTACCGTTGGGAATGATATAGCTGCATAAGCAGCATAGATGTTCAAATTACCTAAATACTGTATATGTTGTATTCACTGCAAATTATTCCTAAATTGTAGGGTAATTTTGCCCACTCCTTGATTGTTGAGGCTACATTACAGTTTCTATTTTTAAATATGAAACATATTGTAAATGTGCATTAATTTTGCTTCAATAAAAACTATGAATTTTAAAATTTGGATTATTGTAAAAGCATCACTCTCCCAAATGAAATATACAGCAAGTTATAGGCCCAACATTGTTTTAGCTGAGCTAAAAATCCTTCTTTAAATAAAAATATGTTTCAGTTGTTACTACCCTTGTTTAGTTTTTCAAAGAGCATTAATGCTAGAATATCTATATATAAAGTTAAGTTTGTCTTTTAAAGAGGTATTTGCCTACAAGGTCTTTAAATCTCATAAATTACTCCCTGGACTTTTCTGAGGAGGCTCATTCCCTCCTCCAACTGCAGTCATTTTGTCTCATCCAGAATGGTAAGGACACCATTCCTACAAAAGGGGAGGTGCTTTTGAAAGACAAAGGAAGACAAGATACACACACCTGAAAAACTTGAAAAACCCCGTCGTGAGGTATAGGGGAATACATAGGCAAAAAGAGTTAAAATAACAGTGGGAACATTGCGAGGGTGGTGTTTAAAGAAAATCCAGCCAGAAGTGAGTATTGAGTTTCAAAATGGTGTGGAATTTAGTTTGCTGAGAAATTAAGAGTATACTTCATGGGAAATTTCCTCAGAAATTTTGGCCTCTCAAATATGTTTAAGTAAGTTTAAAATGTGTTTCAACTTTTAAGAAATGCAGTATTATCTCAATTATCAAGCTTCTTGCAAGAAAGTCTGATGGTAGAGGAATTAGGGGCAGAACCAGGCCCCTTTGACTGCACACAGCCAGTGGGATAGGAAGGGATGGCTGGGATCCGGGCAGGGCTTTCTGAGCTGCCAGAGGAGGGTAGTGAACACCCCAGCAAATTGGATCCTGGCAATTTGCACTGCAAGAGGTGGAAGTAAGTTGCCCTGATGTGGCTTAAAGGGTCAGAGACACATGAGGCAGGGTATCTTCAAAAGGCGCCCAAGCCTAGATCAGGCCTGTTATCAGGAGAGCCATGTCTGCAGGCAAGACACTGGGTGCTTGTCTTCATTAATAGGGACAAGCCCCCACCCCACTTAAAAGCCTTCTTTTTAACTGGCCACTGAAGAGTTTTTACATAAGATTAGTGACTAAGGATGCCCTCCTGCCACCCACAGGTGACCGAGGCCTCACTTCTCCAGCTCTTGGGGCAGTGGGGAGAAAAAGGAAGCAGCCCAGTGTCCAAGGGTTTTATCAGGCTGGACTACCTCAAAGGCAGCTGACAGTCTCCCCATTGTACTGTCCAGATGCCAGCCCAGCTGGCCTTTGCTCTGCTCTATGAACCTGAGAACCAGCCTGGGCTTTGGAGATGACTGACTGCCTGAATAACTGAGCAGAGGATGGCTTCTAGAAGAAAACACCAGGGTAAGGACAGAGGACATGAAGATCTTATAAAGGCCGGTGATGTTACAAGCCTCAATCTGGATGGTGGCTGAGGGCATGAGACAGTAGTTTTGAGAACTATTGTGATGGGATCTGGGACACTGATGGCCTGTGAGGACTGAGAGAGGAAAATGGGTCAAGACTGACTCAAAGTCTTCCAATCCAGGCAATTGGACTTTAAGCAGAAGAACAAGTTTTGAGAGAGGATAATGAATTTGGTTTAGATCACATGAGCACTTTATTCATTAGAGAAGAGTTTTAACTCCCTTATAGCCAAGATAATTCATATTTATTACAAAAGCAAACATATCAAAGAACACTTTGAAATGCAATTAAATTGGTTTATTGAAATAACAAACTATGAGTAATACAGATTGTTTCAGTGTAATATAGGTGTCATACATTTCTTCTGGTAGTAGATGATAGATGATAGATACATACACAATGAATAGGTAGATGTTAGATAGATGCTAGATAGATAACAAGATGAAATAAAATAATATAACAATCCAGAATAATAAATTTTATTACTGGGAGTCTCTCTAAAGATGAGCAAACCAAATCCCATTAACAGATGAGGAAACTAAGAACCAGAGAGGCTAGCATTCTCCACTCCACAATGGTTAGGGCACTGACCACGTGCCAGGCACTTATTCTGTGCTGGGCCTATAAAAGCAAACAGAAAAAGGTACCTGTACTTGAGGTGCTCAGGGCCAGGCTAGTGGGTGATGGTGTCCAGTAAGCAGGAAGTTAACACACTGCTTAATAAGTGCTACGAGAACAGCGTGCTCAGGCTACAAGGTGCACCCAGTCCAGGCTGGGGAGCATCTCTCCAAAGATCACATGTGAAAAATGAACAGCACTCAGATAGACAGGTGGTAAAACAGTGCCCTAGGAAGGCCAAGGTGAGGGGAAGCATAGTGCATTCAGTTGAACAAAGGAATTCAAGTGCCAGGGAATTCTTGTCCTGGATTTTGGAGTCAACAGTCCCCTGATTCCCAGTTCAACGCTATATTCAGCATACTACCTGTCTTTCTAGGCCTCCTGTAAGTGTGTGATAACTCTGCACACATATCGCTACTATTGCTAGAGCACAGGAAGCAGACACAGCTCATGCTTACCCAGGTCCAGACATGAAGATTTTCAAATCCTCCTGTTTAAAATGTCTCTTCAGAGGAATAATTACTTTGTATTATAGTCTTTCATTTCCTCCCAAAGTGTGTACATCATCTGGATCATGCCATAAAGCTCTTAAGTCTGGAAGGCATTTTAAGGAATCACCAGCTTCATCGCCAAGGGAGCATGGGGCAGGGGTGGGGGAGCAGTCACCACCCCAGTGCAGTGAATGAAAAGGTCATCATCTGCAGAGAGCTCAAAAATGCACCATGAAACTGGCCACTATGGTCCTGCTCTGTATTATCCCTGTGCCAGTACTGCAGCGCGTCTCAGTAGTGCCAGCGCTCAAGCATCATCCCCGTCCCCATCCTTGCCCAGAAAGGCCACAGCCCTAGCACACACCTGCCTGCGCAGAATGCAGGGCGCCCAGATGCCTGAAGCCTGCCAGTCCACCACCTCCGCGGTTTGTTATCACCACCTGTTCTCCACTCTCTTCGGGTTGTAAACACAGCTTGAGTTGTCAACATGGTATATACAAAAATAACCCACAGCAATGTTTACCTTCCTAAAATTATATTTATCTCCCCTGAAGATTCTCATCTCTCAAGTCTCAGGTCCACTTCGAGCTGGGGCCATGGGCATCCAGCGTCCGCTGCCATCCCTTGGGCACTTGCAGGCTTACCAGGGGCAGCCCTCGCTCACCCTGGCCAGCCGCGCTGTCTGGCAGGTGCTCGGTGGGGTGAACACCGAGGGGTCTTTAATGCCCAGCTGTATGTCGAAAAACCGTGTGGACAGTATCACACTGTAGTTCTGGGTGAAGGTTTCCTGGACGGGATAACAATCCTTGACTGTGTAAATGCCAATCCAGGTTTCATCTGTAAAAGGAAGGCAAGTTGACTTTTTAATACAGAAGACAGACAAAATGCCTGAACTTTTTTATTGTGGTAAAATATACATAAAATTTATCATTTTAGCCATTTTTAAGTATGGTTCCGGTGGCACTGAGTACCTTCACATTGTGATGAAACCATCACGACCACCCATCTCCAGAACCTTTTCATCTTCCCAGTTGAAACTCTGTGCCCATTAAACAGTAACTTTCATTGCCTCTTCCCTGGCCACCAGCAACCACCCTTCTGCTTTCTCTCTCTATGAACTTGACTATTCTGGGAGCCTCAGATAAGCGGAATTATGAAGCAGTCAGCCTTTTGTGATTGGCTCATTTCACTTAGCATAATGTCCCCAAGGTTCGTCCACGTTGTAGCAAATGTCAGAATTTCCTCCCTTTTTAAGAAGGAATTTCCTTCCTTCCATTGTACGTATACACCACTTTTTGAGTATCCATTTTTCTGCTGATGGACACTTGGGTAGTTTCCACTCTCTGACTACTATGAATAATGCTGCTGTGATCATGGACATAACGGTATCTGTTAGAGTACTTGCTTTCAGTTCTTTGGGGGATATGCTCAGAAGTGGAATTGCTGCATCGTATGGTAATTTAATGCTTAATTTGGGGGGGAAACCACCATGCTGCTTTCCATAGCACAAACGCCCATGTTTTTGAAACAGTCTTGGGGTAGGAATTGGCAGCACTGCAGAGAGGAGCTTCACATCTATAAATAAAAGCAGACACTCAGAGTAACGGGAGATCTGGGCACTGTGACTTTAGGAAGCGATAGGGGGAAGGGGGCACCGATTCTCATGTGTGCCTTAGGCAAATGCCTTCCATGCCACAGACCTCAGGGGTTCATTAACCATTAGAGCCCAGGATGAGCCCGAGGCAGCCAAAGTGGCAAAAAGGTACAGGTGGCACTAGAAAGCTGAGGTGTTTCAAATATGATGCTTAGATCTGGAGCTAAGCCGCTAGCAGAGTGTATGTTGGGGACTTCATTGGGGGAGGGGATATCAACTGGATTAAGCTCATCAATTTCCTTAACTACCTTCCTTAATGGACTTAAACGTCTTTCCCCATCATGCCTCCTGAGATACAAAGCTCAAATACTTTTCTGAAGCCTTACATGATCTAGCTGACTTTCTGTCAGACCACTCCTGGACAGTGATCTGCTCCTGTGGCCCCCCGATGGAGTACTGGTCCTCAAAGGTGGAGTTCTGAGGAATGTCGAGAGGGTCCCAGGGGTCCGTCAGGGTGATCTTGGAGCACTGCTTGGTGACTTGTTCAATCTGAAACATCACTCCCTCCTTATAGAGCAAGATATATTCAAATAGTCTGAAAGATGCCAAAAGAATAGTTCAGGACTTTATGTTATAATCATCATGCCTTTTATCAGCAGAAAGGCCAAAGGCTTCAGTATGAATTACTGCTGGAATAGAAACAAATAGTTTTTCTTGCTAAGCAATCATTTCCTTATTCATGAACACTAGACACGTAAACAAACTGATTGTGAAAAACTGAAATTCAGAGCTCAGGAGGGACAGCGAGTAGCCGAGTGCCTATTACAGACCAGACGCTGTGTTTAGGACATGAGCATGAGGAAGACACGGCCCTGGGGGGACAGCTGGCTGTGACCTGTTTCCCACAGGGGCATAGGAGGGTTTGGCCCCGCACTTGGCTGAGTTATTGCATCACTAAGTCAGGGAATCATGGGGTTTGCTGAAGTACAAGAACCCTCTGAGGACCGCCCATGCACCTGGATCCCACTGTCTCATCCACCAGTCACCAGGAAAGGGCTTTGGGGAGGTGCAGCTGCATTGAGAACGGGGCCCCTCACATACCGGGAAGGCTGCAATGAGCAGGGAAGGAAGCTGAGGGGCCCCTAGCACAGCTCCCCGTGCAGTTTGTCCACACACTCACGACCTCATCTCTCATGCCCGCGGGGGTGCCCTCCCTATGTGCAGAGTCAGCTGGGGGTCTTCCTGGCTGGGGCTGGGTCGGCAGACACCCTGCCATCAACTTGCCTGCTGTGTTGTCACCAGGCCCGTGTCATGCTTAAAGCTGAGCAATCCTGGTGCAGGGGAAGCCCGCCGAGTTTCCATGCCACTGCCGCTGGTGGAGCAGCCCTGACATCAAGAAGTGAAGTTCCCAACCCCTGAGGGCCACACGGGACCAGAGAGGTGGCTTTTCACTAGCAAACAACGATCTCCAACAAATTATCTGTGGTCCTGGGACTCCCTCCACTCTGTGGCCCTGGGGGAGGGCAGCTGCTCTCCAGTCCAAGGTTAAAATTTATTTTCTTCAGAAAAAGTATTATAAATGACCACTGTCTATGGTGAAAATAGTGCCACTGTTAGTACTATGCTCCCGTTTTCTATGAGTTAGTATGGAAATATAAACATGATATCATTTTATATGTTTAGACACATCTATCCTGATTTATGCCAGAAAATATCTGACCTGGCTTGCAAGGGTAAAACCTAAGTATAGACCTTTAGAAGTTGGAGGTGAGTGAAAGAAAAAGAAGTGTTCATTTTATGGAATATTGCTGAAAAATGGAGCCAGTTTCTTATGATACACATGCAGGGTTCACATCAGACTGTAAGTTCTTTAAGTTTGGAGTTGGACTGCCACTGCTTTCTCAAGCCTGGTTAGGTCCCTGGCACAGCAGTCTAAACATTCATGGAGGAATACAGAACCATTAGCATCAACTTTAGAGAATAGCCCACTCGTAAATTTGGGACTCTGTCCCTACACAAATCCTGCCCCGTGATCCTTTTCATGACAGCAGGTCCCCCACAAAACTCCTGTACTGTGTGACTGTCTTCACGATTTTCCTCCCGTCAGCACCATCCTCTGCTCTCCCAAGATCTAGGCCCCTAGCCAGGAGTCAGGCCGAGCTTTTGCTGAAATGCCACTCTGTGCTTCTCAAACTGCAGTTTGAGGAAGATATGCAGCCCGGTCAGGAAAGAGGGCTTCCTTTTCTTCCTGAGACCAGTCCTCAGTCCCCGAGTCACAGAGGGAGGAGCCCGCAGCCACGTCTGTCGTCCACGACCTGGCCTCCCGGGCCGGGCTTCCTGGGCCAGAGATGGACATCCGACCCAGGGCGGGACCATCAGTCTCCCTCTGGCGTGTGGAATTGCCACTGAAACCCCACTAGTCAGGCTCTTCATGTGGCTGGACATGTCGCATGTGAACTCAGAAGCCATGGGAGGCTGTTTTCCAAAATGTGAAGTGAGGAAGAGTAAAAAACAAGCAGAGAAGCAGAAAGAAGCTCTAGCCAGCTGCGATTCCAACAGCCGCACACCTCCTGGATGTGTTTCTTTTCTGAGGCCCAGGGCCTGCAGATCCCCCTGTAGAATCATGATGTTTCTTTTGTTCTAATAAGCTTTCCTTTTTCTGCTTGAAACTTTGGGTGTGACTCATAACCAGGACTCCTGTCTAATATAAGCGAAGCCTCCACTGCTCTGTCAAAAGCCTTGGGCAACAGCTGCCAGCACAGCTGTTCCGGGAGAGGCTCTGCATGGCCGGCTGCAGACCCCAGGGCCGCTGCCAACTGGTCAGCTGGCGGAGGGCAGGAGATGGCAGGGAAGCAACTCTGCCCGCCTCACTGTTTCCCAAGGCCAGCTCTGCCCATACACAGAGGTTAAATTCAATTCTAAAATGAGAATTCTAGACTGGAAACAATCGTTACGTAATGTTCACATCTGCTAATTCTGGGTGGCCTGAGAGCAGGTGTGTGTTATGCTGTTCTCTGTACTTTTCTGTTTACAAAAGATCTCAGTTTTTAAAAAGAGGGCATGATCTGATAGTGAGGTTGTTGAAATGCCTTAAGTAAAATGTAAAATAGGAATTTAGTGGGAAACTGAACAGAGCGACATAATACATTTTTTTCAAACTCCCCTGTAGATCAAATGCTACTACTGCTCCAATGAAGTCTTGGAAGAGATTTTCATGAGGCTGTAGCGGCTTGGATGTTTATGCAAACACATTCATAGTTAAGATGTAAGGTTCTCCATCACCAGCAGGATATAAGGCCTAGAGCCTGACAGAGCCAGGAGGTCCAAATGCAGAGATCAGCCAGGGTCGAAAGGAGTCATCTGCCTGGGGCACTGAGCCAGCCAGCAGTCATCTGAAGCCCCAAAGTTATCTGAAGGTTAATGGGTTTCAACAGAAACTGGATCCTGGGAGCAGAGATCAAAGCCGGGCTCTCGAGTGAAGGAAGTTGTGAGGACCGGAATCACAAACCACACCCCTGGGGTGCAGCTGAGTAAGGTGAGGTGCCGGGCAGGCCAGCCTTGGGCCAACAACAGCCTGCAAACTTCTTGCTGGCCAGACACCAAGCAAAGCATGGTTCCCGGGAAGGCCCTGCAACCAGGCCTCTGCTGTGAGCGAGGTCAGGCTCTCCAGACCCCGCCAAGGTGTCAGCAGGCTGACCTCCCCAGGGCAGCTTCAATACAGAGGAGATGCCTGGTGCCCCATTTAGGGACCTTGTGGGACAAAAGATTTTTGTGGCTCTTGACAAAACTCTCAGGCTACATCAACAATTTTCCTTAGTTTCCTGGTAATCCATTTTCCTAAATTCTATCATCCCCCCATTTTCCAAAACACTGAAAACCTGCAGAAGTTTTATACTTTTGAAAATAGATATCTGGCTGTTATAAAACTGATTCAGGTCCAATGTTAAAAAAAAAACATGGAAACAATAGAGAAATGTAAAATGCAGTAAAAAGTCCCCAGAAACTCTAGCAGAAATACAATTCTGTCCATGTGAGTCTAAACATATGTTGATTTTTTAATTAAAAATTTTTTTTAATTGTGATTAAATTTACTATCTTGGCATTCAATAGTGCTAAGTCCATTTCCATCGCTGTGCAACCAATCTCCAGAACTCTGTTCACCTTGCAAACCTGAAACTCCGAAGCTCTGTACCCATTAAACAGCTCCTCATTTCTCCCTACCCCCAGCTTGTCCCTCTTTCTGTCTCTGAATTTGACTACTCTTGATCCCTCATGTAAGTGGAACCATACAGTATCTATCCTTTGGTGACTGGCTTATTTCATGAGCATAATATCCTCAAGGTTCATCCTCGCTGTAGCCTGTGTCAGAATTTCTTCCCTTTGTAAGGCTAATCCACTGGATGAATATCACTATACACACTTGACAAAAATAAGTGAATATTATTCCTTTGTTTTCTAACCTTTTTAAATTCAACGATTTGTCCCTGATAGCCTTCAAAGTAAAAATATACAGATCTATGGAATCAATCAGAAAATTTTAAATATGCAGAAAATTTTAAATATGGAGAAAATTTGAAGGACCAATACAATAATGGCTTTTATATCCACCACCTAAATTCAATAATTACGTTGTTATAATCACATTGTGCCATATCTGCTTCATCTATTTTCTAAATATTTCCTAAAAACAAGGACTTTCTGACTCCTGGTCATGACACCTAAAAAACTAAAAGTCATTCCCAAATACCAGCTAGTATCTGGTCCATATTCCATTGTCCCCCAAAAACGTATTTTAAAGCCGGTATTTTTAAAACCACAATCCAATCAGGTTCATGCATTATATTTGGTTGTTATGTCTCTATTTTTTTTTAAATCTGGACCACTACTCCTTTATTTTTACCACAGCACTGACACATGGCAGATTTCAGGGTTGCCAATATTCCACACTCTCGAACGGACAGTTTCCTCATGGTGTCATTTAACTTGTCTCACTCTTCTCATTCCTCCAAATGAGACATGGAATCTAAAGGCTTGATTTGATTTGGGTTAAAGGTTGTTGGAAGAAAGTGTTATTAGTAACCATGTACTTCATGTTGCATCACATCAGGAGTCAGGTGATGTCCCAGCCACTCTTACTGCTGCCAATTTGGATCAGCAAGTAACATGGTTATTCAGGTGTCTCCATCACGAAGGCATTTCTTTCTACTATTAACACATAATTGGTGGGTGATATTTTGTGATGCTGGGAATACCCTGTCTCCCAATGACAGTCACCTGATGGTGTTAGGTGAAACCATTTCCCTAACCAGTTATTTCACTGAGTGTTGGTATAATAGTCAATGACATCTGTCCATCAATTATCACTCTGGACTCAAGGATTTTTATTTATTCTGTGTATAGCAATTCATTTGATGCTCAAATTGTCCAACTTCCATGACTGGGGGCAACTTCCAGCTGGTATTTGAGGCTTTGGACATGACCCCTTTGACTGCTTCCTGGCTTTCTTTAACACGAGGTGTCCCAGACTAACCTGGGCTTTTCCTGCACAGAATCTGAAATCAGCCATTTCTCTAAGGAATCTGGCACTTAGTGGGA